GTGCATTGAGATTATGCTGATAAGTGCTGGAATATTTCTGAAAAGGATAGCAACAATGGTGACACAACATGAAAAATGTAATCCATGTCCGTGAGCTGTAAATGTAGAAGTTTTATGTTGTTGAATGTCTTGTTGTGTATGTTTTTACCACAGTAAATGTAATAAATAAAAATAAGAAAGATTAAGGAAATTAATAATAGGAAGGCTCTGTGAAAATCAAAAGGGTAATGGCAAATTAGAACATAATTTGAAATAGGATAAATTAGGGTGTGTCTTGTTGGCCAAATTCATAGGATGGCCTTGGAGTATAATTATTTGAAATAAAGTATTGACTTATGCTATGATTATCTTATATCCCTAATGCCCATGGAGAATCAGTGAGGCAGGGCTTCTATGAGTGTGTAGAGATATTTAAGTGAACATCTTACAGGAAAAGAACTTTCTAAGGAAAGAGTTGAGGCAGCCATTGGTTTAAAGGTTGTGGTGCAATGACAGAGGCAGGGGCAATTCTATATAAAGCACAATAACTTGCTTTCAGGGATTTTCCACTAACTTTCCCAGAGTTTACATCATAAACAGGACAATAAATAAAAGAACACATAAAAAGGGAAAAGAGTGACATATTGGGAGGGCACAGCACAGTCACACTGGTTCTAGTGGCTTGAGCAATATGAAAAATAGTTTTCCTTTATGAATAAAACTCAAAAAAACAAATTCACTGTCATTGAGTCGATTCCAACTCATAGCGACCCCCTTTCGGTTTCCAAGGTGGTAAATCTTTATGGAAGTAGATTGCCCAGTCTTCCTTCTGTGGAGTGGCTGGTGGGTTTGAACCTCCAACCTGGTTAGCAGTCAAATGCCTTAGGCACTATGAGAGAGCATTGGCACTCACATGAGTGCTATGTTCAGTAGGCACCAGCACAGGCAGGAAGTCTTATAGGTAAAGGCACTGGATAATCATCCTCTCAGTTTAGATGCTGGGTTTCCCTGCAGTTTTGGAATTTTGCTATTGTCAGAAAATGGAAACATGTTAGTGATCTGGAGATAAAAGAAAAAGTGAAGACTGACCGAGTATACTAGAGGACCAAGTTCATGGCTCCCTTTGGGTATTCCTAGGATTGCTTGGGAATTACTTGAGGGGAGTTCAGATTCCCTCAAAAAAATTACTGTTCTTACGACCTCTTTTTTTTCCCCCCAGGCTAAGGTGGTATCAGAAATGCACATTGTATATATTTGATTGAAAACATCTGCTATTTGAGCAACTAGGCAAATTGGCAGGGCTTCAATTTTTCTGGCCAGGAATGACAACAGATATTGAACAAGTATGTCAATGATGTAAAATGTATATAAAAAACAGATGGTTGGCTTTGAGAAGGAAGCCAAAATAATTGATATCAAAAATAATTGTGCCCCATCAGACTGGTCCTAGAATGCAGCATTATGAAATATATCACGAAAGTACAGATTTCTAGGATTGCGATCATTTTATCATTCACTGTGTGTTTCTAATGAAGATTCATAGTGATTTGTTGCTATTGGCATCAAGTCATTCCCAACTCATAGCAACCCTATAGAACAAAGCAGAACTTCCCCCCGAGGGTTTCCTAGGCTGAAATCTTTATGGGAGCAGATTGCCAGGTCTTTTCTCTTTTTTAGCTTCTGGGTGGGTTCAAACTACCAACCTTCCCTTAGCAGCTAAACACCTAATGAATGCACAATCAGGACTCCTTTCACAGTGATTGAGGAGTAATTGAAGATGAGATGAAAGGGAGGTTAACAGAATAACAGGCCCTAGGGGATAGCCTCAGACCTCAGGCAGTCACCTGCCACACACAAGGCTGGCGGTTCAAACCCTCTAGCTGCTCCCTGCCAGGTAGCCAGGGTGTCTCTTAGGAGCTCTGGTAGCATAGTGCCTAAGGCACTTGACTGCTAACTAGAAGGCTGGTGGTTCAAACCCACCAGCCACTCCTTGGAAGGAAGGTTGGGCAATCTATTTCCTCAGCAACACAAGGAGGGGTCACTCTGGGTCTGGGCCCACTCGACAGCACACAACAACAACAACAACAGGATAATCAACATTATATCATCCTCCAGAAGAGGCTTAGGAAATTCTGAGAACACTGGTGACCATGTTATATATTCTGAACAATAACAAAAAGCCTAATTGGGGAAAGCAGGTGAAATCCCTGGCAAATGCCTATAACTTCCTAGACACACTGGAGAAGCAACATATATGTTAGACAACCCCTACTGCTGATCGGCGGGTGTTTTGCCTTTTGACGTCAGATAAACATTAAAGCTCATTACCATCAAGTCGGATCCGACTCACAGTGACCCCTCCTTGAGTTTCCAAGGCGGTATCACTACGGAAGAACACTGCCCAGTCTTCCTTCCCAGGAGTGGCTGGAGGGTTTGAACCACCATCCTTCTGGTTAGCAGTCAAATGCTTTAGGCACTACACCACAAGAGCTCCAGTCAGGAGCATGCTGTAAGTAAATCATTGAAAGGTGTGATACTAAAGTAAGGTGGACAGGCCAATAACCAGGTGATGGACTGGAAGTAAAGAATTTGACTCAGTGAAAAGAATCCCTACCTACTACCCATTGAGTTGATTCTTATTCATGGAGACCTCGTATGTGTCAGAGTGGAATTGCACTCCCTAGGGAGCTCTGGTGGTGTAGTACCTAAGGCATTTAACTGCTAACCAGAAGGCTAGTGGTTCAAACCCACCAGCCACTCCTCAGAAGGAAGGTTGGGTGATCTACTTCCATAGTGATATGGCCTGGGAAACCCAAGGAGGGGTCGCTATGAGTGGTATGCGACTCCACGGCAGTGACTTTGGTTTGGGGTTTGATAAATGAGAACTCTGAGCTATTTTAGAAGTAAGAAAAAAGAAACCATTGCCATCAAATCAATTTCAACTCATAAATTCCTAGTGACCCTATAGGATAGAGTAGAACTTTCCCCATTCAGTTCCCAAGGCTGGAAATCTTTACAGATGCAGACCACCTTATCTTTCTCCCATGGAGTAGGTAGTGGTTTCAGACTGCTGACCTTTCAGTTAGCAGTCAAATTTTAACAATTGGGACATCAGAGCTTCTATGTTAGAAGTAGAGGCAAAATTTATATAAACAACACAGGCTTGTGTGGAACAAGAGTGAGATACACAGAAGAAAGAGACTATACATTAGGTTTTTCCCAGTTGTCTAGCTTCTTGAATAAAGAACTGGGGTTTTTTAAATGAAATTCCATTGATGATCAACTATAAACTTAGGTAATTATTTTAGATAGCTGTATTGTGAAATATATGTAGTTCTTATTCTATAGTGGGAGTTTAGTCATTCTTAAGTAATATTTGACAGAAGAATACCTGGTAAAGAGCACCCCTTACAGAATTCTTTCTGGAAATGCTAATTATATAAGCACAGTGGTTGTATATAGAAGGCCACCATTTAGGCCAAGATGCTGTCATGGGATTAAATTACAGTTTGCTGGCTCTCATTACTTCCATGAATTCAGGCCTATTTTCTAGTCATACTTGGTTCCCTTCAGTCTCTGGAAAAGGGAAAATTACATATGATGCTATGAGCCTCACAGTCTGCAATCATTACTCTCTTCTTCCTCTCAGTATTTACAGGAGCATATGCATGCCAGCCTACTGGAAACATACTCAGTGACATTAAGTAATCAAGCCATAATCCTGGCCATAAACTCCAGGTATGATAAGCAGAGATTCTCTCTTATTTCATGGATTGAATATCTTTTGAAAAGTATAGGAGAAACATCATAATTATTCAATGAAAAAATTACTCTAAATTCCACCATCCAAACTAAGTAACTATGGTTTATTTCTTTCTCATGTTCATTCCTAATCTTTCTGTACTGCCTTGATAGATAGATTATCTAACTATGACAGAGTCATAATCAGATCACATATTCATTTTTGGTTCTATTTTTCCTTTGGTGTTATGTCTTAAGTTTTCTATTTTTCTAATGGTCATATTTTTATTTTAATGGCAGCATAATAGTCTCAAATTTTGAAACTTTCTTAATTATACTATGGTGTGCCACTATTAAGCTAATATCATGATAATCATCTTTGTACATGAAAGATTTTATCTTCTCCTGAAATATTTGTTTGAAATACCTTTCCAAGAGTGAAGCTCTGATTTAGACTAATTGGCTGACAGTCCCAGGTTTTGCCTCATTGATCTACCAGCATGTTCACCAAGGACATGCTACCTGCAAGATGCCCCACCAGTGACCCAGCACAGTGGAGCACACTACTCCTCCCTACTGCTTGAGTAATCCCCATCATCCTGGCCAAACCTTTCTTGGAAGTTGCTACAGCTCAAGATTCTTCCCACTTGAATTCTTTTTCCATCTTCCTCCTCCTCATCATCTGTTATAAATCTCTTGTGTCCCTAATCCAACTTTGGTATCCTCTTCCCCTGAGCCCAAAATAATGTATATTGGATGAACCTTCTTAGAGTTTTGGATAAACCAAAAAAACAAAGCCACTGCCATCAAGTTGATTCCAACTCATAGCAACCCTTTTAAGACAAAGTAGAACATCCCCCTGGGGCTTCCAAGGCTGTAAATCTTTACAGAAACAGACAGCCTCACCTTCCTCCCATGAAGTGGCTGGTGAATTAGAATCACTGATGTTTTGGTTAGCAGCCAATGTTTTAACAACTGTGCCACCAGAACTCCTACAGAGTTTTGGATAAATACTGTCAATTTGCTTTCCGGAAGCAATGTACTAATAATAAATATTTCTTCAAAGCCTAGTCACTTAGAAGATATACATATAGTTTTTCTTTTTTTTTTTTTCTTATTGATTTAATAGGTTCAAAATTGTACCTCACTTTTATTTCAATTTGTATTTCTTTCAATACAAGAAAGCTCAATATTTTCCAGGTTTATGTATTTATGCATATTCTCATGTGAGAATTTTCCCATGTTCTTTGCCAGTTTGTTTAATAAGATTTTAGTGCCAGTATATATTTTATAAACTCTCGTGATATTTTTATGGTCTTTTTAAATTTTACTACTTTATCTTCATTGTTAAAGTTTATTTTATAGAGTCAGCTATATTTTTTTCTTACTTTTTTTTTGTATGACATCTGGTATAAAATTAACTCTATAACGCATTTAATAACATTATGTTTAATTTTATCTTTTTATTTATATTACTTGATTTTCATAACCCTTTAGTCTTTGATAGTTATTTATATTGATGAACTAATACAATTTATGATTCACAATTCCATTGTACAGACTCAAATTGACAAACCATGACCATGGGCTTCCTCTTGCTGCCTCCTATTTTTATATAGCTTGTGGGATAAGAATGGTTTTTACATTTCTAAATATTTGGGGCTCTGGTACCTAAGGCACTTGACTGCTAACCAGAAGGCTGGCAGTTCAAACCCACCAGCCACTCCTCAGAAGGAAGATGGGGCAATCTACTTCTGCAGTGATACTGCCTTGGAAACCCAAGGAGGGGTCGCTATGAGTCGGGTCCAACTCGACGGCACATAACAACAAAGACAACAAATATTTGGGGAGGGATTAAAATAAGAATAATATTTTACCAATATACATGACTATTATATGAAATTCAAATTTCAGGCTCCATGAGCAAAATTTTGTGGAACAGAGCCACATCCATTCATTTATGGATTATCTATAGCTGCTTTAAGGCTTTTGGGTGGTACAAGTAGTTTGTGCTTGACTACTAATAAAAAAGGTTTGTGCTTCAAACTCACCCAGCAGTGCTGCAAAAGAAAGATCTGGCAATCTGCTTCTGTAAAGATTACAGTCAAGAAAACTCTATAGAGTAGTTCTACTCTGTAACACATAAGGTCACCATGAGTCAGAATCAACATGAGGGCAAAGAGTTTTCATGATTTCTTTGGCTTTACAATGACAGAATAGAGTTAACACAGACCATCTAGACTACAGAGCCTAATACATTTATTGTCTGGACTATCAAAGAAAAAACTTTGCTGTTCCATGATACAGATAATACTTATTTTAATTTGCTTAATGTCCAATGGCTTACTTAACCCTTTTAAATATATATATATATATATATATATATATATTTCTATTGGTCTGTAGAATGGAATAGTTATGAATTAAAGAGTGCTCTGAGTGTCATGACTGTGGTGGTGAATACGTGAACCCACACATGTGACAAAATTGTATAGAACTAACCACACACACATAAATACTCACACACACTCGAGCACAAGTAAAACTGATGAAATCTGAACAAGATTGGGAGATGGTATCAATGTCAGTATCCTGGTTGTGA